ATTTTATGAAATTGTTTCTTAATATGAACCCCGCCAAAATAATCTAAGAATATTTATTTGGATAGTCCAAATAATTAATTGGGCTAAAATAGTTTTGGCCCATTAGGTTTAATTAAAAGCCTTAAGATAATTTTGGTGGGAGGATAAACATCAACCTTGTTGGATAAGGATGAATGTTTTAAAGATAAACATTAACTTTATTGGATAAGGTTAAATATTTTAAAGATAATAATCAAGTAGTCCACGTATAAAAACAACTCCTCATCCTTGGAGGATAAGGAAACAACAATCTAGAGTCCTTTATGGACTCATGGCTGCTCCTCTTCTTGTCCTTAGAGGACAAGAAAACTCTCCCCCTATAAATAGGAGGAGATATGCGACATAAAGTGATGATGATCTAAAAAGAATATTTTTGGCCAAGTAAAAAATATAAGAAAAAATTCGGCCAACCCCTAAAATAATCTAGGACACACAACCAAGAGAGAAAAAACAGAGAAAATAGTTTTCTCCCGAAATCTTAGTAAGAAATAATCTTACATTTTCCTTTAAGGTTGTCACAAAATTGCCCGCGATTGATTTCTGAAGGAAATACTTATCGAAAAAGGAGAGCTAGCACTCCATCAATTTTGAGTACTTCTTTGTGGATATTTAGGTCGCATGAATCATTAATAGTAGGTCGGACACTTGGACGGCTAATCAAAGAAAAGGAATTTAGATCCGCGCTACAAGAGGTAATCCTTTACTTTAGCTTATTATTATTCATGTATGTATGATTAGTAAATTCAACTTCATGATCTTAGGGCCTTAGATGGAGAAAATTTTTTATTTATTTCGTACCTCCATATGATGCATGATCCTTCGGAAAGCCTACTAAAGTTTCTTTACTAGACAACAACAAAGGCTCCTTGGTTAGGATATCTCTCTTGCCATACATAAAGCTAATATTAGATAGTTCGATTTGGATAGTAAGGGATAGTAACCTTTGGCTATGGAAGGATAAATGGATAGTGCTAAACCTATCCAATTGCACCCCACAATAGATGTGGAGATCACACCGGCTCAAACAAAGAATGATCCAATGATATATGCCTCTCTTCCTCTCTTGATCGAGTTAAATTAGACTACCTTCATCCGGATAGCAATGTGGCGGATGTTTTATGCTACATAAAGGCTAAGTCGGGTAGATTCAACTCAAAGGAGTATCATGAGGCTAATAGATTGTCGGGACCTAAATTTGAGTAATGGAGGAGCCTATGGAATAAATGGATTCCTAAGAAGGTTGGAATCATGGTCTGAAAAATTCATGCACAATGCTTTGGCTATTGATATAAGGTTTAAGATGTGTGGAATTCCTCTTCTCTCAAAGTGTAGATGCTGCAATAGCCTTTAAGAAGAGTTGAGGGATCATTTGTTCATTCACGGTGAAAGTCGCTGGCCATCTATGGAGCTTCTTTGGTAATATATTAGATGTAACTCTAAGTTCGATATCGGTAAGGTAGTTATCAATAAGGTGGTTGACCAAATGCAAACCTTTATTGTAAGAAGTTTTCTCTCGATTGGTGGTCTTTGACATGGTCATATGGGAATTATGGCTAGCATGAAATAAGTCATTTTTTGAAGAAGAGGAAATAAACGATATAAGCATTAAACTAAAGGTGGTCCACTAGTTGATAGAACTTAACAAGTTGTTCTACCCGAAAGGTTCACTTTCATTCCATGATAGGATTTGCCTTAAGGTCGTAGGAATTCGGATTCGAAGCCACTTACGATTAGGGAAAGATGGATAAGATGCTCTTCTCCTTCTTCGAGAATTATGAAACTAAACGTGGATGGTGTATCAAGAGGTGCATTGAGGGAGGTATTCTTCGTAATACGTATGGAAAGATGTTGATGGCTTTCCTTATTTTCTTTGGAGATAGTACCAATATTAAGGGAGAACTTTTGGCTATTACGGAGGGTCCGAGGTTATGTAAACTTCACAATCTTCACCCTTCAATCATAGAGGTCGACTCCTCTTTTGCTTTTCATGGTTTGGTGCAATCATAAAATCTCTCATGGCATCTTAAATATATCTTATCGGATTGTTAGGTAGACATGATTTCGGGTCTAACATTTCAACATACACACCAGAAGGGAATAATGTTGCTAATGGAATCGCAGTATGGGCCTTTTAATACACTTCACTCCAAATTGTATTGATGTTATCCGAGATCCCAAGTATTCGTATTCAAGCAATTCGAAGGATGCTCGGGGTGGCTTCTTCTTTAGATGAAATGGTGGAACATGATGAAGTTCGGTTTATGGGTCTACTAACTAACGAATATCATGATATGAAGGTAGATGCCTTCTCAATTTGGCTTAATGGTGGACCATCGGGAAGATGAGCTACTCGCTATAATTCTCTATAGTTTACAATGGAAGTTTTTTCATGTAGTTTAATCGTTAATGGATGGGAATATCATTAATTAAGGGACTCGTAGTTGTTTCATGCATGTCATATCTATGAAACTTGTTTAGCTAGTAGTGTTTGTTTTATTTTGTTTTAAGTATTGGAAGTATTCTTTATTTAAGAGCTTAGGAGCTTGTAGGATCAATGTTAGATAATCCTTCGAGGGTCTAGGGTTCCTTACCCTCCTAGTATGTTGGACTAGGCTAGATTATGCCCCTTTATTTTATTTAATTTTTATTCAATATACTGTAAGGGTACTAACTATGTTTTCAAAAAAAAAAAAAATGTTCGAATGAAAGCACTTTCATTCATGAAGATGTTCAAGTTAATTGATCAAGAGTTAAAACATGACATTCAAATGTTATGATGTAATTTCTTCAAAAGAGTTATTGAGCTAAACTGGAAAATATGTTTGGATCATGCAATGTTTATATAAAAGCCTGGTTTTTAAATGCTATTAAAGGTAAATTGTCAAATGATAAGTCTATTTTGATAAATGAAAGAGGCTTGAGTAGGAAAGTATTTTAAAATTTTAGGTTTTACAAGATAGTTGTTCTTGAGAATATCTCGATTCTTTTTTTTCTTTCCCCAAGCTAGTTGATGGAAACTTATGATTTGGTGTTATAAAGAATGACAAACTACATACCAACTAGTCATGTTTTCTTATTTTTCTCAATCATTATTCTTTTTTCTTTTGATATTAGAATTCAACATAATAAATAAAGCTGTTTTTAATTAAAAGGGGCTTGTAGAAGTATGTGATGTAGGCTATGGCTTAAGCTTATGAAAAAGTAGATACATAAAGACTTAAAAAATATTTAAGGGTCTTATGATATAAGATCACTTTGTTATCCATATAAGTCTCTTTAGGCAATGCCACTTGAACTTTGTCACTTCATTCGTTAGTTAGTCGATTATGTCATTAGTGGTAATGTAGAGTTTTTGTAGACGAGTAAAAGAGTTATTTTAGAGTTGCTATTATTTGTATTCAATTTCTCTCGTAGTAAATTCAATATTCTATCATCTTTCTCTCTAATTCTTTTATTATTATCATAATATTCATTTACTACTATTATCATTTTTCAATAACTTCCAGTTATTTTTATTATATCCTAATTTCTTATCCATTTTTTCCCAACAACCAAGCCTCTAAATATTTCAAACAAGAAAACCTAATTATTTAGCAATAATAAACAAAAATGTATATTATATTTAATACCCTTAATTAAAAAAAGTATGAATTAATCAAGTTCATTAATAGTTTAATTCTTCATCCAAATCTCGAAAATTTTCCAACAATTAAACCTAATTATTTATCATTCAAACTAATTTTATTATCATATTTAACACACCAAAGAGTTTGTAGCCCAACGATAATGGTCTTTTGTAACAAGATGTCACAGGTTTAAATCCTAACAGATTATTTCTATTAAGAGCATTGAGTGTGTTATCAAGTTCATTATTAGTTTAATTCTCGATCTAATTCTCCAAAATTTTCCAACAACTAAAACTAATAATTTATCATTGAAAAATAATTTTATTATGATATTTAATACCTTAAATTTAAATCATTATCCATTAATCAATTTCAATATTAACTCAAATGTTAATCCAATATCAACAACCAAGCCTCTAAAAATTCCTAATTATAGAACATAATTATTTCACAATCAAAGGTAATTTTATTATAATATTTAATACCCTTGATTCTCAAAAAATGATCCCCTCATCAAGTTCATTTTTAACCTTATTGTTTAACAAATTCAAATTCTTCTAATTTTTTCAAAATCCCAATACTATTCATGTAATAATTTTATAACATGACAACAACATAAACCAATATCCATAATTAATTTCAAATAATACCAATAATATATTCAATAACAATTATCCAAGTTTTTGGGGCAAAAAAATAATATTTAATAAATTAATAACAACATAGCAAAATAATTAATTTTTGTTGGTATTAGAAGAGAGAAAAAGTTAGAAAAATACTTAAAATAAATAAATAAATAAATAAGCCCATGTAAATAAATAACTTTTAGTATTTTTTTTTAACTTTTTAAAATAAAGGAAGACTTTTCAGGGAGATAATAGCCGTTAATATTAAAGAAAATGATATATTTGATGTCTAGAACAAGTTTATTTAATTATTTGTTTATTATGTTTTTTCCTAATCAATTTACGTAATCGCTTAGTGCGTGGATGAAATTTTGGGGGAATGACATTGGAAACATCAAATAAATTTGATTAAATGGTAACACCAATCCCAAAAATTTAACAAATGGGCTAGGAGTTTTGTGGAGGCAGCCAAGAGCCCAATAACCATTATTGTTTACAAATTGCAGCCTTGTTTTCTACGACTATATTTTCTTTGGAAGACGAAACAAAAGAAGAAAGAATTTCAACTAATTCCATGCGTGATATACACGCGGCCCCAAAACCCCGCCACGTTCTTCCTTCCTTTCCCGCCATTACAATACCAGACTATATAAACCACACACTCTTTTGTTTTCTCAGTTTTTAGAAACCCTAATTTCTTGATAATCAAATGGGTGAAAATAATAATTTTGAAGAACAGAACAAACTCCCTGAGCTTAAGCTAGGTAAATAATGAATGTTTTTGTTTTATTTTCCGTTTTTGTGGTTGAGAAATGATTTGATTTTTTGACATGTTTGTATCAGATGCTAAGCAGGCTCAAGGGTTCCTCTCATTTTTCAAAACCCTACCCCATGTAAGTCCCCTTATCAATCTTTTAATTTCTGGAAAAATGAAGCTTTAACTTAAAGGAAAAAGAAAAAAAAAAAAGGAAGCTGAGTTCTGGGTTTTTTATTTTTTATTTTTTCGTGTCATTAATGTTTATAATTTCTTTATGAATGTTATTATTTTTTAATGTTTTTTTTTTAAATTTTTTTGGGCGTGTTTTGTTTTTTCTTTCGCTGTTGCAGGACCCTAGGGCGGTTCGAGTCTTTGATAGAAGGGTGAGTTCATATTCCGAGTCTTGTTGAACTTCTTAATTGTGTCTATTTTTATTTAATATGAATTGGGTCATCCCCTCTGGCATAACTGTTGGATTTTCATCTTGGATGTGAAACTTTCCTGTTTTAGTAAGTAATAAGCAGTATGATTTAGGGACGTGCTTTTAGGGGTAATGAGAATTGTTTCCTTTTAAGGTGTTCTTACAATGCTGTTATTTTTTGCATTCCATTTTACAATCATCTAAGCAAGCCCAAATTACGGGAAAAAAAGAAAAGAAAAAAAAACGAAAAGGTACTATTGAGAATGATATCATTTCTTGCTGTTTTATTACTGATGGAATTTTGTTTTGCCATCCAAACTTCAACACCAAGTCGTCATTCCATTTTTTTTCTTTGTACTGTCTTCATCTTTCAAACTAGCACTGATACACACACATAGATTCTCAAAATGCATGCCAGAAGTATAGGGTTTTCTGTAAATGCAACTCCTTTTCTTCTATTATGCATGTTTTTTATTCTTTGTTTGTTGTTATTGTGATGGATATGATCTGTCAATGTACCAGCTATTGCTCTTCGTTAGTAGAATTTAAAGTGTCACTTTGTTGTCTCTGTTTGTCTTATTAATTGTCAACCATGTAAGTAATCTTGTTTAAATATGCAGGACTATTATACAGCTCATGGTGAAAATGCGGTCTTCATTGCAAAGATATACTACCACACAACCACTGCGCTGCGCCAGTTGGGTAGTGGATCTAATGGTCTTTCTAGTGTGAGCATTAGTAAAAATATGTTTGAAACAATTGCCCGGGATCTTCTTTTGGAGAGAACAGATCATACTCTTGAGCTCTATGAAGGGAGCGGATCCAATTGGAGACTAGCGAAAAGTGGGACACCTGGAAATCTTGGCAGTTTTGAAGATGTTTTGTTTGCAAACTATGAGATGCAGGATTCTCCTGTGGTTGTTGCACTCTTTCCAAACTTCCGTGAAAATGGGTGCACAGTTGGGTTGAGTTATGTTGATTTAACAAAAAGAGTTCTTGGGCTGGCTGAATTTCTAGATGATAGCCACTTTACAAATGTGGAGTCAGCTTTGGTTGCCCTCAGTTGCAAGGAATGCCTGTTGCCCATGGAGAGTGGCAAATCCAGTGACTGTAAAACTCTACATGATGTTTTTACCAGATGTGGTGTGATGTTAACTGAGAGAAAGAAAAATGAGTTCAAAACAAGGGATTTGGTGCAGGATCTTGGTAGGCTAGTCAAAGGTCCCATCGAACCTGTTAGAGATCTAGTTTCTGGTTTCCAATTTGCACCTGGTGCTTTAGGAGCATTAATGTCTTATGCAGAATTACTTGCAGATGAGAGCAATTATGGTAATTATAGCATTACAAAGTACAATCTTAACAGCTACATGAGGCTCGATTCTGCTGCCATGAGGGCACTGAATGTCCTTGAAAGCAAAACTGATGCAAACAAAAATTTTAGTTTATTTGGTCTCATGAATAGAACTTGTACAGCTGGAATGGGAAAAAGATTGCTTCATATGTGGTTAAAACAGCCTTTAATAGATGTAGATGCAATCAACTCCAGACTGGATTTGGTGCAGGCATTTGTGGAGGATACGGCACTTCGCCAAGATCTGAGACAGCATCTAAAGAGAATCTCAGATATTGAGCGACTGATGCACATTGTTGAGAAGAGAAGAGCTGGCTTGCAGCATATTGTGAAACTTTATCAGGTGAAATTCAATTTTCTGTTCCTTGTACTCACTCCTTAATGCATGTGCTTGATGTGGAATGGCAGAGTTAGTGATTATTTGACTAGACAATTAGCTAAAACACTTGATTTTTCTCCATTTTCTACCAAATTGGCTAATATTTCTTGCCTACTTTTGCTTATGCTCACTTTCCATCTTTGGTTAAGGATGATTATATGGTACTTTTAGAGTAGAGTAGCTCCTGGTATGGAAAATGAAGTGTAGATTTGTCTTCAGAAAAAAAAACCTGCTGGTGTGTGTATTCTTTCTTTTTTGGCACCCTCTTTCCCTTGATGCCACCTAGAAGTAGTATCTAGGGCCGTCTAGTGCTTATGTGGTACTTTACGAGTGGAGTTGCCTCTGGGTATGGAGAAAGAAATGCTGTCAATCTTAAGAAAAGCACTTGCAGGTGTCATCTACAGTTGTGCCTTTTTTTTGGTTTTCTTTCTTTCTTGGCACTCCTTTTCTTCTTTAGAAGCATCCAGGCTGCCTAGTTCCTACTCTCCTTTATGTAATTATTCATGTTGCTTTCTTTAATTAATTAATTAATTACCACATGCATGTGTCCTAAGCTGTACTTTATACCAATATTTGTATTTTAATCTCTCAGTTAACGTGCCTTTTTTCTAATTAACTGGATACATTTTTGGGATGCAGTCAATTATAAGACTGCCATACATTAAAAGCGCTCTGCAACGATATGACGGTCAATTTTCGTTACTTATCAAGGAAAAGTATTTGGAATTCCTTGTATTGTGGACAGATGGTGATCACTTGAATAAGTTCATTGCTCTTGTGGAAAATGCTGTTGACCTTGATCAGCTTGACAATGGGGAATACATGATTTCACCAAGTTATGATGATGCCTTAGGTGCACTAAAAGGAGAGCAGGAGTCATTGGAGCGCCAGATACACAATTTGCACAGACAAACAGCTTCTGATCTTGACCTTCCTCTAGATAAGGGATTGAAGTTAGATAAGGGAACACAATATGGTCATGTCTTCCGAATTACAAAGAAGGAAGAGCCAAAAATTAGAAAAAAGCTGACCACCCAGTTTATTGTCCTTGAAACTCGAAAGGATGGGGTGAAATTCACAAACACGAAACTTAAAAAATTAGGAGACCAGTATCAAACAATATTTGAGGAATATAAGAGTTGTCAGAAGGAGCTTGTCGATCGAGTGGTTCGAATTGCGGCAACTTTCTCTGAGGTGTTCATCCTCTATCATGTACTGTCACTTTAATCTGGCTATGATTCTGGATTAATGCAAGTTTCATGTTGCAGGTGTTTGAGAACTTATCTGGCTTGCTTTCTGAATTGGATGTCTTACTTAGTTTTGCTGATTTGGCTTCTAGTTGTCCTACTCCGTACACAAGACCCGACATCACTCCATCTGTAATTATTTGCTTCATTCACTTCCTTCCGTTAATCTATTTTGTTGTTTGGAAAAGAATTTCACTTTATGATATTTATCATATTTGCTGTTATAGGAGGTGGGAGGTATTATATTAGAAGGGAGTAGACATCCGTGTGTGGAAGCTCAAGACTGGGTGAATTTTATACCAAATGATTGTAAACTTGTGAGTATTCAATTGATGAAGGAAAGCATGCTCCTTCTGGCCTTCTAATGTCCAAGTGCCTCATTGCTGTTTCTTTGTTATCTTTCCGTAAACCAGGTGAGGAGAAAGAGTTGGTTCCAGATGATCACAGGGCCTAATATGGGTGGAAAATCCACATTCATTCGGCAAGTATGGATTTGTTTCTTTTAATTCGGTTTGATGCCTTTAATCAATAATAATTTCCTCCATCATGATATCACTCTCACCTCTAGAAATTTTATATCTTGTCAGTATTTCAGTCTGTCAATGCATTTGACTCAACACAATTTAAGGCTATGGCCTCCTTGTCTGAGTTCATTTTTTATTTGATATCACCATGTTAGATGCTTTCATCAATGGGAGAGACCAAGGTCCCTCTCAACCTCTTGTTTCACAAGATCTTCAATCTATCTAGTTAACGAGCAATTTTCCTGGGTTGCTATATCTGTATATTTTGGTTTCACTTGCAGATAGGTGTAAATATTCTCATGGCCCAAGTTGGTTCTTTCGTTCCCTGTAACAAGGCTAGCATCTCTGTTCGTGATTGCATTTTTGCACGTGTGGGTGCTGGTGATTGTCAAGTGAGTTCCATGGCATAACCTCTTAAAGTTCAAACTGAATTGCAACATATGTGTGGTTTTTGATAGGGAAATGTCTGCTAACAAGATAGAAGGGTAAACATCAGATGTTTTATACTGAATGTGTTGGAATTAATTTGAGTGCGTTACAGGGAGAACAGAAGAAATTAAATGCCTAAATTAATGTTACCATTTACACTTGTATGCTAAGGTACAGAGTAAGCAGATCTGATTTCCTTTGTGCTTTTAAGCATGTAAAAAAATAAGATATCAATCTCAAAATAGCATTCAATTAATCCTTCCTACAGTAACGGATTCAATGTGAAATCTGTTTGGCAGAAAAGTTCGGCGTGCTTCAATGATTTTTTATTAAGCTATTAATTTGATGCTTATCTCTTTATCTAACTAAAACAATATTCATCCGAAACAAGTTGAAACGGTGGAGATGAACCTGTGCTCTTTAGATCCTTCTTTTTGACATTAGTCGTTTATGTGTGCATGATAAGTATTTGTAATACCATTAGTTATCAGATTATTTAGCAGCATAGAGTATAAGATATATCAAGTCTATGGGCTTAACCAAAACAAACTGCCTACAATAAAAGGTTATCAGATAATAAATATAGTTAATAACGGTTTAATTCCAAATATTTTTGAGACATCTGTTATAATATGTTGATAGTATCCAGAAGCTTTTACTAGTATGTATTGCTAGAAAACTTATATTAGTTTAATCATATGATATAGCTTCAACAAATTCGATTTATGCCTGTAAAATTTACCGAAGTATTAGTATTTGTGCTTTTTGCTGTTTTTTACCTGTCAAATGTCCATCCAGAGAGTTTGAAACTGAACAGTGTATTTTAGTGACTGTTTCGTTTCTGTACAGTAGATTATGTTGCTTGCTTACCATGAGAGGATGGATGTCATTCCTAGTCATGAAGCTTATGCATTTGTTTCCTTTCTTTATAGTTGCGTGGAGTTTCTACTTTTATGCAAGAAATGCTTGAAACTGCTTCAATCCTAAAAGGAGCTACAGATAGGTCATTGATAATCATTGATGAGTTGGGCCGTGGGACATCAACTTATGATGGATTTGGTAGGTTTCAACAATTTCCAGAGCCTTGGGATAATAGTTTTTTTGCTTTTTAAATTGAAATGGTGGTTGAAGCTTGCTTCCTCATTTTACCTAAATCTGTATGATTTAAAGTTTTTCAAACCTGTTAAATGGATGTTACACGATCTTCTATTTCTTTTGGTTTTCTTTCCTGTCATTTGAAAGGCATGAACCGTGTCTGCTCTCCTTACCTAAATCAGTATGATTTAAAGAATTGTTCTCCTATTGAAGTTGCAAACATCAAATTAAACTTGTTTGGGATTTGAGAGTTTGTACAAATTAATTGTCTCTGCTCTCTTTTTTCTTGATGAGTTTGGGGAAACTCCTTTTTTCCATTTATTTGTGATTTGGACTTCGGAGTTTTCTGTTTTTAAACCCATTGCTTAGAACTCGTTTTCACCTTTGGTGGAAAGTGATGAAGTAGCACTATTGTGTGATCCTTATTGAAATTTTTGTTTGGTTTGTTAAACCTCATAGGTATACATAATTTTTTTTTTTTTTTTTCCTCTTGTTTTGTTCTGGTGCTCAGGCTTAGCATGGGCCATATGTGAACACTTGGTCCAAGTGATCAAAGCACCTACTTTATTTGCAACCCACTTTCACGAGTTGACTGCATTGGCTGATGAAAAAGATGACCAGGATCCCCATATGAAGCAAATTGTTGGTGTTGCAAACTATCATGTCAGTGCACACATCGACCCATCAAATCGCAAGCTGACCATGCTATACAAGGTAACTACATTGAGGCATCGCCTAAGCACCAGGAATTACTGGTGCTTGATTGTATGCCTTTTGCTTTTTAAATTTTCAAGACCAGATTTTTTATCTTAACTTCCGCCTTACCTTCAATCTATATAGTTAACTGACTGGATTAGTGTAAAAGTAACAGGCCTTTCGAATGACTTGAAGGAGAAAATACCTTTCAAGTGAAGCATAAAGTTGGATATGGGGGAGAAGGTTTTAGAAATTTCCTTGGCCTGCTCCTTTCAAGTACTCTCTTTGTCGTTTAGCAAGCTTTGCTTTTGAAAAGAAAAAATAAGTGGATAAAAAAGAGGAGCTTCAATTTTTTTTTTTTTTCCTATCATGATATGAGTTCAATTTGACTCAGAAACAACAGTCTTTGATCATGATTCTTAATAATGATTTATATCATTGTTGGGGTAGCAATTTTAGGATTAGTATTTACCTGATATGATTATGCTGCTTTTTAAACTGCTTACACTAATGACCTTCATACAACCATGAATTCCAGGTGGAGCCAGGGGCTTGTGATCAAAGTTTTGGTATTCATGTTGCAGAGTTTGCAAACTTTCCTGAAAGTGTTGTTGCCCTTGCCCGAGAAAAGGCAGCTGAATTGGAAGATTTCTCTCCTACTGCAATCATTTCAGATGATGCTAGAAAAGAGTGTGTCTTCAATGAACCCTAAAGCTTCTTGTTCATTCTAGTTATATGAGCATTCCAATCATTTCTATTGATAAGCATTAGATTTATACAATAGTATGTAGTGCCAATGTCATGTGATGCCTTGACGCTTCAATTAGTGTCAACATTTGAAGGGTTGTACCACTCTGGTTTGACTTCTCCTTTTAACAAAGCAAGCATCAGAGTTTACATTCTAGAGTGTGTTGAGACTTTAGGTTCAATGCACCACTTTTATTTTGTGAAAAACAACTTCATTTTCAAGTTGATTCACTGAAATGGATTTAGCATGATAAAGTATGGGCTGCCACTAAAAATATGATAGATTTCCTGTCAGTAATCTTCAGTGTTTAAATGAGTCTTGCGAGAATGTCATGTCACTCTTTGGCAGTCACAAAATTTCCCTATGATTTGAACTTGGTAAAATGATATTATATTATCACTAAGCATTCTATTAGGTTGGAATATTGACATTTTCATTTACGATTTGCAGGTTGGATCCAAACGAAAGAGGGAGTGTGATACAGATGATATCTCAAAAGGCACAGCTCGGGCTCACCAGTTTCTGAAAGACTTCTCTGATTTGCCATTAGAAACTATGGACTTGAAGCAGGCTCTGCAACAGATAAGCAATCTGAAAGATGGCTTGGAGAAAGATGCAGTAAACTGTCATTGGCTCCAGCAATTCTTATAGTTGTCCTTAAATATTTGCACCCTTGGATATTTTGTAAAGCCTTAACAATTAGGCAGCGAGCACCTAAGTTTGCTTGACATCTTGAGCCCCTACACCCCACCCTTTTTGTCCCTTCATTTTGCTTGGCTCGGGTATTGGGTTTTTAGTGAACCATAGAATCCCACTACTGACCATTACTTGGCTGGATGAGTGGTCTCTTAAAATTTTGTTGGGGCTCAGATCGATTGTGGGTCTTTAAGGGATTGGTCTCTTGTATCTGTAGCTTAATTAATTTATCCTGGGTTTCGTTTTATTAACCCTATGTATGTCAGGTCGATTGTAGGAAATTAAGAAAAACATGAAACCTTGGCGCAATTTGCTTCATTGGCATGCTTTCCAACTTCAAGAAGAGTTGAAAAGCTGAGAATGAACGAAGGGAAGGATAACTCATATGCCCATTGATGCAAAATCACAAATTTTGTTTCTTAATGGCAAAATTCGATTCTCTGTTACTTTGCAGAGGTCAGTTGTGTAATTTGGCCTTCTGAACACGTCAATTCGCCATTCATATACGATACGATATGGCAAAAAACAAATCTTAATTGTTCTTCGGCTTTCCATCGAAAAAATACAAAGACGAATGCATCCGATTCGCGCACTCATCTCTTGGGCTAATTAATCCTTCTGTCTCTACTAAAGTATAGGAAGTGCTAGAGCGATGGATTTCAAGGAATTAGGCCTAACCTAGTGGCAGTAGGCTAGCCTAGAAGCTTGAAATTCCACTAAAAGCCCAATTAGTAATGATACGGGTACTACATTTTTAATGATGTGATATTTATTATAAGAAAAGAAATTCAAATTATGAAAGTGAATTTTATCTTATTTAATACGATGATTATTATTATAATTATAAAATGTGATTGATAAAATATTAATTTTATGATGTCAAGTCACTTATTTTAGTTTAAAAAAAACCTAGTCTCTTGTACATGTTTTGTTGCGGGCAAATAATGATTCGATGCTAAAAGCAGTTGAAAATTTACACACATATATTTTTTATTTTAATGTTTTTATTATTATTATTTTATTAAAAATGACATAGTCTGTTGTAATAATTAAATATAATAACTTCTTTTCTTCTACAATATTTATGTTATCATTAGTTTGATTCATTGATATGGATTTATTTAGATATTTATGAAAATATTTAATGTTTATTATTAAAGTTCATGAAGCTTGTTTAGAAAGTAGATTCAATGAGAGTTTTTTTTCCCTTAGATTTACCAAGCATGTTAGTTTTATAGTTAGTTACCTACACAAGCACTATAGGTAGAATATAATAAAATCATTCTAATTTGATAGCTCATGATATATCACGGATCTATTAAAATATATCGAATTAAATATAGAGAAAAATAATAAATTTTTAAACAAAATTTTGTATTTAAATAATTTTTTATGTTTTATATAAATTTTATATTTTAAAATACATCATTTGTTCTTCTTATGCATTGATTTTTAAATACAAATTTTTAATAATATCAATTGAAATTTTAATTCAAAATTCAATAAAATTCATTAAAAATATACTTTTTATAAATTGTAAAAAAGAAGAAGAAGAAGAAGAAGAAGCTATAATTAATGTATGAACTTGTACGAAAATTAATAGATAATGATTTTTTTTAAAAAATAAATTAAATAAAGCTAGATAAAGATTTTAAATATTTTTGAAAAAAATATTTAAAAGAAATAAATTAAAAAAAATTTAGGTGCAATTTTGGCTCCCAAAATTAAAAGAAAGAAAGAAAGAAAGACAACCACTATAGTTTTCGACAAACTCTATTTCATCGAAAGCTCACCGAAAAATTGAGTTTTATAAATTTTGGTTTCTTAAAATCAAATTCAGCCCATTTTTATCTAGAAAATACTTTAAATTACAAAAATAATATCAACAAAATCGTTTAGAATACCAAAAATCATTTTAATACACATAAAACACAAAAAAAATAATTAAAATTAAAATTAAAACTTAAAATATTTTGGACTTCGATTTACTTCCTCATATAATTTCATGACTTGTTACCATTACAAATGGATTGTACTCTTCAAGACGAATAAATTGGTGATGAGTTCGATGGTCAAGGTGGTTGGAATGGGCCTCATCGTCCCTCTCTTTCTCCTTCCTTGTCTTTCTCTTAATTTCTCTCTCCTCTAAGTCGTCAAGGACCAAAAAAGCAACAACAAATGAAGTTTGGGATCGAAATAAAAGTTTGTGAAAAAGTAAGGGATAAGAGTGTAATTTTTTTAGCTAAATAGAGTCAAAGTGCTAGGAAAGTCTTACCCGTAGAATATTTTCTCTTGTATATAATGATTTGTGATACTCTATTTTTATATAGAGTTTGCTATAGGAGATAAGAATAAGAATTTATACATAAATGAGAGATAAGAACATTATTTACCTTCCGTATGTATCTAGTTATTGATTATGTGCAGAGACATTGAAGAGGTTGGAATTATAGATTTAGTAGTCCTAGGAGAAGAAGAGGAGGATACGACAGTAGTAGCGGCGTTGTGGACATGGCAGATAGCAACAACATTCCTAGTGATGCTAAGAGTCTTTGGGAACATGGATGAGCGGGAGTAAAAATGTGTCTTAACACTCTCTCACAAACCGAATGCGATCTTTTACCCACAGAGAGTTTGTTACATAGAAATTGGAACTCCAAAGTTGTTAACAGTTTGATAAGAATGTCGGCTATCCGATCTTGACTAGAGATGAAAAGAAGCTAAACACTCCCTTTTGAAATCATATCTCTAATAAAATGAAAATCAATTTTGACGTATTTTATTCATGCATGGAATTAAGGATTAATTGCCAAATAAGTAGCCCTAATAACATCGCGCTAGATTGGTGATTTTGAAGTCAATACCTCCCAAAGTTTGCTAAAGAGTGAAGTGACCTAAGTCATTTCAGTAAAAAATTAAGAATTGCTTTGTATTCTACTTCCGTAGAGCTTCGAGCATTAGTTTTCTATTTAGACAATTTCTAAGATATTAAATTCGGATCAATATAAATAGCATAACCACTTATAAATTTTTTATCATCCAAAGAACTCGCCTAGTCAGTGTATGAAAAACTAGTGAGGGTACAAGATGCATGTTTGTGAAGATGAAGACTAAGAGTTGTAGTGTTTTTAAGATATCGAAGAATTCGTTTGGTAGCAATCCAATGATCAGTTGTAGGCACTTGCATGAACCGGCACACATTGTTGATGACATATGCAATATTTGGTCCGATCAAAATAACATGTTGAAGGGCTCTAAGAACCTATCTATATAGAGTAACATCTTCAATTATTGGAGTAGAATCTTTTATCAACTTGGAAGTGGTAGGTATGGGAGTAGATATCGGTTTACAAATTATCTTGCCATGCTTAGCCAACAAATCAAGAATATATTTTTGCTAGGACAAGAGGATGTCATGCTTTGTGTGTATCACCTCAATGCTTAAGAAAAAACTTATAGAGCCAAAATCTCTTATGGAAAATATAGAGTTCATAGTCCGAATGATGTGTTGTAGAAAAGATGAATCATTTCCTGTAATGATGATGTCGTCTACATAAACAAGAAGAAAAATATTATATCCTATAGAGTTGTACATGAAGAGAGAGCTATCCGTTTTAGAACCAACAAAACCAAAATTAACCGAAAAATCATTAAGGCATGAAAACCATGCTCTAGGGGACTCGTTTGAGCCCATATAGTGATTATGCAATCGCCATACATGATTAGGATAATTGGTGTCCACAAAATCAATTAGTTAACTTATATAGACGGATTTATGTAGAGTACCATTGAGGAAAGCGTTATAGACATCCAATTGTCAAATTGCCTAACAAGAAGATATAACAAGAGATAGAACATAATGAATTGTTATGGTTTTAACCACAAGGATAAAAGTTTTCTCATAATCCACTCCTTCAAGTTGATTAAAACCTTTTGCAACCAACCTTGCTTTGTGCCTTTCAATGCTTCCATCTCGCTTCTTTTTTGTTTTTGTTTTGTTTTTTTTTTTTTTTTTTGTTTTTGTCTTGAAGACTTATTTATCGCCAATTATGTTCATAGAACAAGAAAGAAGGACTAAGGACTAAGTACCTCATACGGAGGAGGGCTAAAATTTCAGCTTGCCATAGTTGTTAACCATGGTAAGTGCTTTTAAGCTTTAGAGAAGCAAGATGGACCTTCGGGAACCACGAGTTGAGCGATGACAATAAAGGCATTTAGCTCGAAGGCTTGTTCATGAAATGAAATACCATATGATGGGTTTTAGAGGATGCAAGTATAAATGGGTGGGTCTCCGAATGGTCCAATACATAATGGCTTAAATCTAGGACAAGATTTAAGCTAATTGGTGAATGTGATGAAGCCATAACTAGAGAGGTAGAGTGACTATGTGATGTTAAAGATGAAACAGGTGAATGAAAGAGAGATGTAGATTCAAGTGTGTGGCTATTAGGTGAGAGAGATAAGCAATGTGTGGTATTTGGATTAAGGGATACGGGTCGGGCTAGTGATAGGCTTTGGGCTAGATAAGGGGTCTCGGGTTGTGTTGATGCGATGGGCGCATGTTGTATGATGAATGGATTTTGGGTCGTAGGTATGTATAAGGAGTTGGGATTTGATGAGCTATTAGGTGCGTTTATTAGGAGTGAAATACTTAGGTTGGGGATTGGGTTAGACATTTTTGTATTTTGTTTATTGGTAATGAGTGACTTGGGCTACTTGGTTGTGCTTGGTTTATATGTAAAAAATGGATGTGCAACTTCCTGGCATGGAAAATGTGTGATGTTTTGGCTTGGTGACATAAAAACCAATAGAGGCATAAAATGATGTTGACTTGCACAAGTAACATAGTGAGTTTGAACTAGAAGACATGCCCAAGGAGAGGAAGAAGAGGAGGGCTCGGATAATAATACTAAGGGATTTGTTTGTTTCAACAAATGAAAAATGTTTTCAATAAAATGAACATGATGAACTATGTAAGTTCAATTGGTTTTTTTGTCAAGACATTTATAGCCTAAGTGAGATGGATTATATTCAAGAAAAATATAAGGAGTTGATCAAAAATCTATTTTGTGTTTATTGTAAGGGCGTAGAAAGTGATAGTGGAGACAACAAAATTTTTTTAAAAATGAATAACTTGGATTTTTGTGAAATATGATTTGAAAAAGGAATTTATTCATGGTGACATTTGATGGCAGGTGGTTTATAAGAAAAACAACTATTTTAAAAGTGTAATGCCAATATTTTCAAGGAACACTTGATTCACCAAGTAAGGTGAGGTCTGGTTTTCACAATATGATGGTGACACCATTCTACTCGTCCCATTATGTTTATATGTATAAAGGCACATGATATGATGAATAATGCCAATGGATAAAAAAAATTATTTAAAGTGGGAAATTTGTTATCCCAATCAGTTTGTACTTATTTTATCCGATAAGTAAATTGGTGCTCAACAATTTTCCGGAATTT